CCTGGGTTGCTGGCTCTATCCCCAGTAGGAAGCATACAGGAGGCAGCCAATCCATGTTTCTCTCTCACACCGATGTTCTCTCTCTCCTCTCTCTCTCTCTCTCTTATCTCTCTCTCTCTCCCACTCTCCCTCCCTCCCTCCCCTCTCTCTAAAATAAAAAAAATTATTATTTCAAAAGCTATTGGACAACTGCTGCAGAATTTTAAGAAAGAATGGTATGATCTCATTTGCATTTTAAGGATGGCTCTGGCTGCAGTGTGGAGACATGGAAGCAGAGGGTTGGAATTAGTGGAGCCAATTTGGAGGCGAGAGAGAATAGTAGCTTGGACTAGAGTGGTGCTGGTGATGATGGCGGTGAAAACAGAGAGAAAAGGATGAAGTCAAGGTATTTTTAGAAAGGAAAACTGATAGGACTTAGAGAATGATTAAATGTGGCTGAGGAGGAAGGGGGAATTAGAACAGAAGCCAAAAAATAATAGAACAGAAGAGACTTGGATGACACATGTTTCTAGTACATGATGCTACCATTTAATAAAGTAAGAATAAAAGAAGCACATCTGAAAAGAGAAGAATATAACTTTCGTTTAAGGGCACTGGTTCTCACCTACGGGTGACTGTGCCCCCCAAAATACATCAATACATCTGGAAACATTTTTGGTTATCACAACTAATGGCATGTAATAGGTAGAGGTCAGGGATGCTGCTAAACCTCCTACAATGTACCTAACAGCCCCACACAACAAAAAATTATCCAACCACCCTAGCTGGTTTGACTCAGTGGATAGAGTGTTGAAGGGTGAGACTGAAGGGTCACAGGTTTGATTCCAGTCAAGGGCACGTACCTCAGTTGCAGGCTCGATCCCTGACCCCAGTCAGGGCATGTGTGGGAGGCAATCAATCGATGTTTCTCTCTCTGTCTCTCCCACTGCCTTCCACTCTCTCTAAAAATCAATGGAAAAAAATATTCTCAGGTGAGGATTAACAAAAATAAAATTATCCAACCCAAAATGCCAATACTGTGGAGGTTGAGAAACTTTGATCTAAAGCAATGCTGATTTGAAGAACTCTGCAGGACAGCTAGGTGAGGACATTCAGCAGCCTCCTAAAGCTCAAGAGGGAGCAGGAATGCAAATATAATTGACCCTTAAACCACACAGGTTTGAACTGTGTGGGTCCACTTATATTCAGGTTTTTCTCAATAAATATATTGGATAATTTGGGGAGATTTGCAACAATTTTAAAAAAAACTCACAGACAAACCTTATGATTTTAAAAAATAACCTTTTCTTTTCTCTAGTTTACTTTATTATAAGAATACAGCATACAATAATACTACACACAACTATTTATGTTATTGGTAAGACATCTGGTCAACAGTAGGCTATTAGTTAACTTTGAGGGAGTCAAAACTTATCTGTAGATTTTCAACTGCACGGCGGGTCAGTGCCCCTGATCCCCACATTATTCAAGGGTCAACTGTATAAGTTTAGGACTTGTCAATTTACCGTGGTCATTCCAGTCATCAGCTATAGTTGGGTACAATCACCCATGAATATATTCAAAAAGGCGGCCAAGGACAGAGCCCTGGGGGACACCAACACTTATAGTGGGAAAGGAGAAGAGAAAAAGATCCCATGAGAAAAACTAAGAAGTAGCCAGCGAGATAGGAGGAAAGCCATCAGAAAATGTTATCACAGAAGCCAAACAAAAACAGTGTTTCAAGGAGGGAAGTGAGAATAATAAGCAGTGCCAATGGCAGAGAAAAATTGAGCAAGTTAGGAGCAGAAAGTTTCCATTGGATTTGGCAAAATGGAAGGCACTGATGACTTTGGTAAGATCAAGTTCCACAGAGTGTTGAGGGCAGAAGCAAGAACCATCAGATTAAAAAAAGATTAGATATATTTAACATGTTTATGAACTAAAGGAAAGGAGCAGATAGAGGTGAGGGGAAGGAGGTAAAGAAACAGGAGAAAGAGGGTACGTTATGAAGGAGCAAGATCCTAAGAAAAGGAGATGATTTCAAGTTGGTGTTTTAAGGAAGGAGAGCATCAAATAGGGAAAGGACCAACAGCCTTTCAACTGATATGAGGGGAGGAGGGATAAAATTTCAGCAGAGTTGGTGGATGGTAGGAGAAGCAGCTAAGGGAGTTATCATCCCTTAATTTTCTTTTTTTAATAAGTTTAATCTTAATTTTTTATTTTATTTATTTTAAGAATAGTTTATTGGCTTTTAGAGACAGAGAGAGAGGGAGATAGAGACAGAAACATCGATGTGAGAGCACAACATGGATCAGCTGCCTTCTGCATGACCCCTAAAGGGGATCGAGCCCACAACCCCTTAACAGGGAATCAAACTGGTAACCTCCTGGTGCACGGGACAATGCCCAAACAACTGAGCTACACTGGCCAGGGCTGATAGCCTTAATTTTCCAGGGAAGAATCAAGAATGCTCATCTGCCAAGAGCAAGGGTAAAGGCAATGGGGTAGGAAATTTGAGGAGAGGTTAAATGTTTAGAAGAATTCTTAAAGTGAATGGGAGAAGAAGCTGACAAGGGTCATGTAGGGAGATTTCTAAAGACTATCTTACCAAGGGAGCTGTGTCCCAGCAGAGAACTCTTGGAGGTCATGTTGTGTTCTGTCAGAAGGCATTACCCAAGTGTCAGAAACCTGAATTATTAAGAGGGTGGGTACTGGTAAGAATTATCCTAATATATAAAAACCCAGGGTCTGTAATGACCGACCGAAGACTCGACTGAACACCAGAAGTCAGTCCTGCCATCAGTGCACAATCCAGCACTGACTGCTGCGGGTGCAGGTGCAGTGACCCAGCACTGACTGCCAAGGGGGGCTGTGCATAAGGTCCGGAGAGAGGCCCAGAGAGAGAGGCAGGGTCTGATCTGCAGCCTCCGTGGCAGCTGTTGATTAGCCGTTGCACCTCCTTCTCTCTGGGCTTTGCCAGCAACCTCACCTCTGTTTCTCTCTGGGCCTCTGCAGGGGCTGCTGATCAGCCCTGCCTCTCTGATCAGGCCTGGAGATAGGCCTGGAGACACTGACTGGCATAGAAACTGACCAATCAGAACCAAATCTGGGTCAACTGTGAGGAGCCAATGGCTGCCTAGGAGATGGAGCTTTTGACATTGACTGGCGTAGAAACTGACCAATCAAAACCAAATCTGGGTGAACTATGAGGAGTCAATGGCTGCCTAGGAGGTGGAGCTTTTGACACTGACTGGCATAGAAACCAACCAATCAGAACCAAATTGGCCGGCAGGGGAGGGCACTTGGGGGTGAGATCAGGCCTTCAGGGTTGGGCAGTTGGGGGTGAGATCAGGCCAGCAGGGGAGGGCAGTTAGGGGTGATCAGGCAGGCAGAGGCAGGTAGGGGCGATCAGGCTGGCAGGGGACAGCAGTTGGGGACAAGATCAGGTTAGCAGGGGAGGGCAGTTGGGAGTGAGATCAGGTTGGCAGAGGAGGGCAGTTGGGACAACCAGGCCAGCAGGGGCGGGCAAATGGGGGTGATATCAAGGCCGGCAGGGGAGGGCAGTTAGAGGTGATCAGGCTGGCAGGGGAGGGCAGTTGGGGCAACCAGGCCAGCAGGGGAGGGTAGTTAGGGGCAAGGTCAGGCCAGCAGTGAAAGGCAGTTGGGTGCGAGATCAGGCAGGCAGGGGAGAGCAGTTGAAGACGAGATCAGGCCAGCAGGAGAGGGCAGTTAGGGGCAATCAGGCAGGCAGGCAGGTGAGTGGTTAGGAGCCAGCGGTCCCAGATTGCAAGAGGGATGTCTGACGGCCGGTTTAGGCCTGATCCCTGTGGACATCCCCCAAGGGGTCCCCGATTGGAGATGGTACAGGCTGGGCTGAGGGAACACCCCCTCCGGGCATGAATTTCATGCACCGGGCCACTAGTCTATATATATAAAAGCCCAGTAATCGTTACAGTGGAACAACCAGAACGACTGGTCGCTATAACGCGCACTTACCACCAGGGGGCAGACGCTCAACGCAGGAGCTTCCCCCTGGTGGTCAGTGCACTCCCACAGCGGGAGCATTGCTCAGCTAGAAGTTGGGCTCACAGCTGGCGAGCGTAGTGGTGGTGGCAGGAGCGTCTCCCGCCTCCATGACAGCACTAAGGAGCAGCGAGCCAAGCGGTAAGAAGTGAGCAGGCAGGTGGTAAGGAGCAGCGAGCCAAGCAGTAAGGAGTGAGCAGGTGGGTGGTAAGGAGCGAGCAGGCGGGCAGTAAGGAGTGGCAAGCTAAGCTGTAAGGAGCGAGCAGGTGTGCAGTAAGGGGTGGCGAGCCAAGTGGTAAGGAGCGAGCAGGCGGGCAGTTAGGAGCAAGGGGTCCCGGATTGCAGGAGGATGCAGGCCGAGCTGAGGGACCACCCCCCATCCACGAATTTCGTGCACTGGGCCTATAGTCAGGTAATAAGAATGTTAGCTGGGAGTTATGTTTAGTCATCACGAGTAGGGCTTTTGCCTTAAGTTCCATGAGGGCAGGCACCATGTCTATTTGAGTCACTATTAGATCCCCAGTACCCAGCACAGTGCCTAACACATAATAGGCACTCAGTAAATAGTGGGTGCATGAAACAAAAGGACATAAAAATATTTCAGAGGCCAGCTTCCTGATGGAAATGCCTTACCACCACTACAACATCTCTCATAATAGTTCTCAATTCTGTTCTGCTGAAAATACTAGCCTTCCAAATATTTCAGATACCTGCCACTTGCTATACTGCCCTCAGCAGTACCTCTCTTTCCTAATAATTTCCTCCTATTAAAATTCCTCAGATGTCTGACATTTGTGATAACTGATGCAGTTTTCTCTCCTCCTTTCCACCCTCCCTGAAATTAAACACTAGCAATGTTCTCTACACATTAAGAAGTATGCTTTCAGAACAGAGCCTCACCTCCCCTGAAGCAGCTCTATTATTAAAATGTCAGGGAGGCTGCTATTCCAGACTGCAATGCCCCAGGTCATCTTCAACCAGCCCTAATTCCTTATTACCTGGGCCACTTGACTGTGTTTCTCAGGGATGTTTTTCAGATGGTTAGACCGCACACAGACCATGTTTCTGTCTATGGAAAGAAAAATAATTTGATTTATAAATTTTTTAACCTAAAATATTATTTAAAAGAAAATGTCTGGCAACTCAAATTCCCTCCTTCAAAGAGGCATATGCAGATATGGAGAAGCAAAGTACCTACTTCAAGCTCAAAGCCATTTTTTAGAGAAAACCTATTTCCCAGTCTAGCCATTAAGAAGCTTATTCTTAATGAAGCTAGTATACAATATTTTATTTCATGCTATAAATAAGCAATATGAGAACATCTACTTTCTGTTTAGAATTTAAAATGGAAGTAAAATATAATGGGATTTTTTTTCTGTTACTGAAAAATAGAACAATAACATCATATGCCCATTTAATTCTGTACACAGGTGGTGGGGGGAGCCAAGTGCCTGCCCTAACAAACTGCAGTTTAAGACATATGGATATTAAACAGTGTGACTAATATAAAACGATGGTGTTTCAAGTGGATTTATTGAAAATGGGCAAACAGAAAGTTCAGGAATGGAATCTGGGAATGGATAATGGAATTAAGTCTTAGAAATATGCCATTATGATTTTCTTCACCAACACCTCCCCTATTTATTCTTTTAAGGTCAATTTATCAGAGAAAGCTCTAGTTTTCAGGGATAAGGGGCTATGAAATATAAAATGTAATTCAATAAAGAGGAGACTGCTTCCCAGTACAGAAAGTAGCACAAAATAATGACAATGACAATAATCATGAGAGAGCAGCAGCAGCAATATTAACATTTACTAAGTACTTACTAGGTTTCAAGCATATGCCTTTTAGAGGGAGAAAGAATGAGGGTTGTGATTCCTATCAATATAATGACTACCCACAAAAAAATATCCAAAATTAACCTTGTGACAAGTTCGGCATCAAAGACTTCCAATTTGATCTAGTCCTTTAAGACCACTGCATTTCCTACTCCTCTACACTCCCACTGATACTGTTCTCTGCACCATTCCTTTCCTCTCAGTTCTTGGTTTGTTATTTCTACTAGTCATGGCCATTTGACTGACCTCTCCAAGTTCCAAGGTAGTATCCCACAGTCTTCGGATTGCCATCTGGACCTCGGTTCACAGAAAAGGTGGACTTATTTCGGTAGCCATCGATGACAGGCTAGAGGAGGCAGAAGAGCAGAAAAGGGAAAACAGGTCAAATGAGACCAAGGAGGGCAACAATATAGGGAATGAAATAATGTTCTCTGGATTGGGACAACTAAGTGATGCTTGCTTGGAAAGTAAGGCATAGGTGAAAGTCCATGACTGAGATCAAGACCCGCTATAGAAACTTCATAGTAGAAAGGAGTTCCAACCTGGCCATAAGGCAGGAGTCAGCAAACTTTTTCATTAAAGGGCCAGATAGTAAATAATTTTAGGCTTTGCAGGCCATATGATTCCCATCACAGCTACTCAACTCTGCCATTATAATGTGAAAACACCCATAGACAATCCATAAATAAGCTCAGCTGTTCCAATAAAACCTTATTTCCAAAATCAAGCAGTAAGACAGACACGGCAAAAGGGCCATAGTTTGCTAACCTCTGCCATAAATTAAATTTGCCTCTCTGAGGCCTCTTTAGGTTTTCAAAGTTGCAATTTTTACAAGGAGGTAATAGTGTAGTGGTTTAGAAAGTGGGTTTTGCATCAGATATGCCTGAGTGTGAATCTCAGTTCTGCCATATTCTAGATATGTATCCTTGGGTGAATTACTTAATCTCTCAATGTCTTCATCTGTAAAATGACAGTGCTTACCCCCCAGAGTGATTGTAAACAGTAAACAAAACAATAATACATGCTAATCACTTAGAAGAGGGTCTGGTCCCCAGCAACTGACTAGGAGGTGAGGGCTTACAGAGGGTATAATAGGTTGGAGAAGACAACAGAGTTCCTCCGATTTGGGTGCAGCTGTTGTCACTTTGAATCCGTTGAACATTTGGAGGTAAGACTCTAGTCTTTGTAAAATTTTCTTCTGAGCTTCAAATTTCACCTGCAAAAGAATATAAGCAATAAAACAAAATACTTTTTGCAGTATCACCTCAAAAGATGGAAAACAAATAGGATAAGAGAAGGTTGTCCCCACAGATACTTGGGTCATGGTCTCAGCAGATAAGGAATCCAGAATGATGGAAAAGCAACAGACCTAATAAGGTGTTGGGGAAAGGTCAAGTGTGAGCTCTTGTGTAAGCTCGTCATTGAATTTCCAGTAGAACTTGCTGTGGTAATGGAAACATTCTATTTTGGTGTTATGTTCTATGTAATATGGCAGCCACTAGCCACGAGCACCTGAAATGTGACTCATGTGACTGAGGAACTAAATTTCTAATCTTTTTGCCTTATTTAGTTTTAATTAACTTAAGACAGTCAGCTATAATGTGAAATAAGCATTCTTACACCATATGCAAAATCATTCAAAAGAAATCACAGGGCTCATGGGAAAAATAGGGTTGGGTGAACACATTCCCAAACTTTATCAGTAATATACACAGAAAAGATAGAAACCTAATAAAAAGACTAGTACAGTTTTACATGTGAAATGGTTGTAAAATGCATAACTACTACAATAAGGATGGCACTTTGCCCTGACAAAGACCTGAAGTTTGCTTGTAGATGTAGCTGTCCACTTGTGAGTTATCATGAGGTGGTGAAAGGAGGGTCATGTAAATGGGATGGAAATTTCTCACAGCAGATGTAAATGGGTGTGGCTCATAACACACTTATGGAACTGAGAGAGCAGCAGATGTCTGAGGTGTGTGTGTGTTCATTTCATGGATTTTCATGCAACTCAGTTCAGCTGGGTGCAGTTTCCTTCTTTCATCTGTTTCTCGTGGACCAAATCACTCCTAAGCAAACATGAAATTTGTATTATGTTCAAATTGTTTCCTAATATATCAATCCATTGGAAGAAATTTCTGTTTTCAAAACAAGCATTATAGCAAAACTGACTATACTTAAATTTGAATAGCCACACGTAGCTAAAGCTGTAAGAACAACAGAAAAGCAAGCAATGACGGAAACAGGCATGTATATATGGCTCTAGAATTTGGAAGACATACTGGCCAAAAGTTAAAATTTCAGAGTTGTTAGCATACTGAGTTTAAGGACTCCTTGGGTTGTCTGGATAGACCTGTCTGGTTAAGCTTCTTACAAGTCTAACACCATTCACCTGATGGAACAGAGGAGTGAAGACTTAAGCTGGGTACCAACCTTGAGCTGTTCTTCGTAGCTCAGCCTCCAGAGTGGCGTCACAACATCAGCCAGCCTTGAATACAGTAATTCAGGCACTTAGTTCATTATATAAATACTAGAGGCCTAGTGCACGAAATTTGTGTGGGGGGTGTCCCCTCAGCCCAGCCTGCACCCTCTCTAATCCAAGACATCCCTCTCACAATTCAGGACCGCTGGCTCCTAACTGCTCACCTGCCAGATTGATCGCCGTTTGCCCCCAACTGTCCCCTGCTGGCCTGGTCGCCTCCAACTGCCCCCCTGCTGGCCTGGTCGCCCCTCACTGCCCCCCTCTGCCGGCCTGGTCACCCCTCACTGCCCCACCTGCCGGCCTGATCGCCCAAACACCTGTTGCTCAGTCATTTGGTCATCCCTCACTAACCCCCCCTGCCGACCTGGTCGCCCCACGCAGCCTGGTGTTCAGTGGGTAGTGGTCCTTTCCAAGGAAAGGACACATGAGCAGACATTTGAGTGAAAGGAGGTGTGATCTGGGCTAAGAAATGGAGAAAGAGCACACTGGGCAGAAGACACCCCACGTGTAAGGGCCTGATACAATAATGCACTTGAAGACCAAGGAGCAGTAAGGAGGCCAGGGTGTCCACAATGGAGGGGAGGAAAAGAGAACACTGAGATGGAAGCAGAGAAGCAAGCAAGATGCCAGCCAAGGAGCCATGGTAACAGGTGTACTATTATATTTGTCCTAAGTGCAAGGGGAAACCATTGAAGGATTTTAAGCAGAGAGATCTCATGAACTGATCTAAGAAAATTGCCTCTCTGACAATGAGAAAAAGATGGTCTTTTCAAAAAAATAGTGTTGGGTCAACTGGATATATATATTTTTAAGTAACTTGACTCCTACATTTTATGCTATCCATATGGCAAAAAAAAAAAAAATCATTTAAATGTGATTTAAATGTGATAGGTAAAACAATAAGCTTTTAGATAAGAACATAGGAGAGTATTTCCATGGCCGTTGTGATAGTCAATTACTTAAACAGGACATGAAAATTACTAAATTACTAAAGGAAAAGAATAATAATTGGTACTACACTAAATTAAGAAATTTTGCTCATGGAAGAATACCACTAAGTAACTGAAAAAGCAGGCCACAGAGTGGAAGAAGATATTTACAATACATACAGGCAACATCTAACAAAGAATCTATAAAGATTCCTACAAATCAATTAGAAAAGGCAGGAAAACAGGCAAACAGCTTAAATAGGCATTTCATTAAAGAAGATATCCAAATGGCCAATAAACATAAAAAGGTACTCAATTCCATTAGTCACCAGAAAAAAATGCAAATTAAAACCCCAATGAGATATTACTACACACTCATCAGAATGGCTATAATAATAAAAAAAAAGCAATACCAAATCTTGGTGAGGATGTGACAATTGGAACTCTCATATAATGCTGATGGTTATAACCACTTAGAAAAATTGTTTTTGAGATATCTACTAAAGCTGAATATACACTTACCATCTGATTAAGCAATTCCACTCCTAGGTACATACCTGACAGAAACGCTTATATAATACTAGTGGCCCAGTGCACGGATTCGTGCACACTGAAAGGAAATTAATTAGAAGATGGCCTGTGGGGCGGGACTAGGCAAGACGGGCCCGGACACGCCCCAGAGCCAACCTCCAGTGGTCCCTCCCTGGCTGGCTACACCTGGGGTGGCGCTGGGGCTTGAAGGGGGGCTGCAGAGTGAGCAGGGTCCCTCCAGCAGGTTGGGTCCCTCGGCCTGGCCTGTGGGGATCGGGCTGAAACCGGCTCTCCGACATCTCCCGAGGGGTCCTGCAGGTATCCCTGCGAGAGGGCACTCTGCATCATTGCTGTCATACATGGTGTGGAACACAAATGCAAATGTGCAGTAAACCAAATTCAGGGACGACAATGCCCCAGCAACAACATAATCCACGGCTGAAAGTGGAATCGCGCAGCCCTGCGAGGAATCGGGCTCCCTCCTCTCTGGTTTCAGGGTGCATCACCTGAGAACCTCCGCTGCCAAGTCACTGCAGCTCAGCAGCTCCTCCGTTGAGCATCTGCCCCCTGGTGGTCAGTGCACGTCATAGCAACTGGTTGGACAGTCGAACACTTAGCATATTACCCTTTTATATATTAACTAAAGGCCCAGTGCACAAAATTCATGCACAGAGGTGTTCCCTCAGCCCAGCCTGCACCCTCTCCAATCGGGGACCCCTTGGGGGATATCCAACTGCCAGACATCCCTCTCATAATCTGGGACTGCTGGCTCCTAACCGCTGACCTGCCTGCCTGCCTGATTGCCCCTAATCCCTCTGCCTGCCTGCTTGATCACCCCTAACCTCTCTGCCTGCCTGCCTGATCACCCCTAACTGCTTCTGCCTGCCTGCCTGATTGCCCC